AATTTCATCATCAATGCTTAAGTGGTTGGTGCGTAAATTTGAGTAACAGTGGTATTAACCAGTCTTCCTTGTAGGTGTATGGCTAGTATCCTATCACAGACAGCATTATAAGTCAAAATAGATCTTGAAATGTACTTTTGATGATGAATGCTTACTCAATTCCTCTTGAATTTATCATTCCTGGCATAGTAAACCCTGCGAATGTGTGGTTCCAAATGGCCAATACCAGTCCATTGCAACTCGCCAATGCCTAAGACATTGATATTTATGTGTTCCATTTCATCTTTAATAACTGCCAATTTTCCCAGATTCTTATTTTGTACATTTGTACATTTTGTACATGTTCTAATTATTAACAGATGCTTGCAGCTTTCTCGCCTCATTTTGAGTTGTGCCCCATTAGCAAATAAAGGTCCCAAAAACTTTATTCCATTCATGTCATCACTGTGAGCTCTATTTTGAGGAGGCAGCTCTTTCCCCCAACATTATTCTGAGTAATTTCCCACCGGCAGGGCTCATCTTCCAGCACTGTACCTGACAACATTCTGGTGCTAGTCATAATGTTTTCATTTCCCAGCAGTATCTGACAATGTTCTGCGGCTACATTCATCAGGTTTTCAGTGGTTAAACTTCCAGAAGTAGTCCCCCTCTCCTTCTTCCTCATCTGTTTTAGTCTGGAAGCTTAGCTGAAACCTGTCCACCATGAGTGACCCTGCTGCTACTTAAAATTCTAATGGCATAGCTTCCAGAATCACAGTATAGCACAAGCCACCACAGCAGGAAAAACTGACAGAAAAGGAATATAAGAATAGGAAAAGAAAACAAAAATTTGCAGATGACAAGTAGGAAACCAAAGAGAACTAGTGATAAACTAATTGAAATAGCAAGTAGCTTTGCTCATAAAAAGGGAAATGCAGATCAAAGCTACATGAAGATGCTATTTCTCACCCATCAGATCTGCTGGAAAGGCACTTTCACACACTGTTGGTAGGAATGCAAAATGGTACATGGGAAGCAGTTTTGAACCATCTCACAAAACTACATATGCTTTACCCTTCCGCTCAGTACATGGCACTTCTGGAAATTTACACCTGATATACACACCTCCAACAAAATGAACTAAGTGTTTAAACTGTGGTGTTACAAGGTCTGTATGAGCCCCTGGAAGGTAGTAAACAGACTACCTTTTAAGGCACTGTCTCCAAAAGAAAACTTGAGTTTAAAGGTTTATAAGATGATGTTTATGACTATTAAATTCCCTGAACACTTAGGCCATCAAGAATGTTCATCCTCCCCCCTCCCCCCCCCAAAAAAAGCTAAAGAGGATAGAGAGAAACACTGTTAACTGATGATATATGGAGGGGATAATAATCAATGTAATGAAACAAGCTATATGAATGGTTGAATGTGAAGCTGATGATGTGCCCTGTAAACTTTCACTCAATCCAAAGTAAAAACATTTTAAAAAAAAAAGAATGTTCAGAGTTCTGGTTACTTTGAACATACTATTTATATAAGGAAATAGTGTAAACATATGCATGTCTTCATGGTATACACTTGCCAACTGTATACTTGCAACCTCCAATAACATTTCTTGAAAACCCTAAACAGGGTTGCTTTGGGTCAGGACCGGCTTGACGGCATTCAACAACAGCAAGCTCTACCTGCTATTTCTGCATTATCCTGATTGTGCTTTCTACAGTTATTTACAAGTCACACATCTAGGAGAATCTGAGAGACAGCTAAGCATTACACAGTTATCGAAAGCCTCCAATCAAGAGCAGAATCTACTAAGACTGTGTTCTAAATGCTTTGTATGTATTGTCATTTAAATCTTAGGGGGTACTATTACTATCTCGATTTTATAAGAAAGAAAATTGAGGCACAGGAAAGTAACAAAATTTGTCTAAGGTCATTGTCACTAAGTGGTAAAGCCAGAATGCTAACTAAGAACATCTTGGCCACTGTTGATGTTTTTAACCATCACATTTGCTGCTTTCTAAAAGTCTTTAGACTACCAGGCTTGAGAACTCAGTGATATCAAACCTAAAATTGTTAATGGTACATGTAGACTAACTTAAGGATTTCAAAACTGAGTGTTTTGTGGGTAAAAGGTTAAAGAGGAAGCAATATAAATCAAATAGGTTTCAATAAGATTGATACAGGAAAAGTAAGCAAGTTTTCTGGAAGCAACCCTTCAACCTAGGAGTTAAGGAAGTCTCAAGTTCTGCAACTCTACATCCTCTACTCACTTGTCTAATAATGGTCCTACACTAGGGACTTAAAACATCTGGGACTACAGGGCTTTCATGAAATCACATCTATTAAAACTTTTCTTTTGCGATGCCTTTTCCCTTTCACACCACTATTTTTCCACACAGTAAGTCCTCTCCTATCAAGAGAACATGTGTTTTAAAGATTTGGGTTTTTGCAGCTGTTGTTGTGTTATATTCCTTGTTCAATTTAATGTTGATCAAAGCATCATCTAAGAGAAGGTTCTAGTCTACAACGGTTTGTAACTATGCCACAGCAAGATGAGTACAAAACTAGAACGTTCATAGCTAGAAACTTCCATACCAACTTGACAGGGTACTTTTGTGTCTTTGGAATCTAGTCAATAACTTTAGACTTATATTTGTTTGTTTAATAAAATGCTGACAAAAAAACAACTTTTTCCCAGAAGCAGCCCCTTCACCTAGATTTAGAGTTTTGAGCGCTTGGTTAGATTCTAGATCCTCCACTCACTAGTCTAGTGTCCTGGCTGATGCCATACACGGGACAGGGCTGCAATTGCTACACCTCACTGATTTCTTTCTCAAATTTCAAGTAAACAAAAACTGCATGTGGAAGAAAGCTCCTGGAAAACTGCCAGCCTAGTACATACACATTAGTTCAAAGAGAGTTTGCAAATAAATTTTTTTAAGTTCTATGACAATATAAATACAAGAATAAATGAAAATGTTGAACATATTTAAATGGGAGTCCTGGTGTGGCACTATAGGATAAGCACTTGGCCCACATGGTTGGTTTGAACCACAAGTCAGAGGTTCAAACTCATCACCAGCTTCTCAAAAACCCAACTTGATGGCACTTACCAACAACAAAAACAAGAGAAAGAATGTAGGAGGAATCATTCTATTTTAAGACGAAGACAGAAAAAGGCTTACAGAAACAATGCTTGGCCAAATATGCTGTATCAATTAGCAAAGTGTAAGCTTCTTATATGAGTCGGTCATGTTGATGACTTGTTCCATTTATCTCACAAACTCAGAGATCACTCAAGACTTCAAATGAATATTTTGTTGTTAAGTGCCGTTGAGTAGGTTCTGACCCTTAGAGACCCTGTGTAGGGTTTCCAGGGAGTGACTGGTGAGCAGGAACTGGCAACGTTCAGTTCAAACCAACTTTGCAGTCAGAGTCTTAGCCCGCAGTGCCACACCAGGACTTAGCTACACAGTATTTGCTCCCCCTTTTCTATTTCTCCCAATAATTTTTCCTGAAACTCATTCCAGGTCCTACTCTACCAAGGTCATCTAAGGAGCACTTACATCGATAATAGCTGCTGCACTGCTGTCTAGGTGTTTGTACAATCCGTATAATACTTCTCGAAGTTTCTTGATTGTTTTCTTATTGGGCTGAAGTAGCATTGCTTGAAAGTTTACTGGCAAGCCATACCTTATAAGGAAGCAAAAAGAGCATACAAACACAGAAAGATTTTGTTTTTTATAAAAGCAAATACTGTTGTATTGGTTCAATCATGGTTAAAGGGAAGAGAGAATCTTATTTTAATAAGCATCTTTATAGGCTCGTGTAATACACACAGAATCCAAACCTTCTCTCATCCTCACTGTCCACTAGAAACCCCTATTGAAAAAGAGTCCATTCTTTTTTAGGAATTACTTAAATCACTACTAAATTTTTAAGATAACCTATGGCCACCCTCAGGAAATAGGGATGACACATAAGCTTAGTAAATACTTTTATAATAATAAAGGACATGAAATTGCCCACATCTACTTTGACAATTTGAGGAAATTTTAAAACAGTAAGCACTGCTGTGGAGAGGATAATTGTTTGATTTTAAGTATCTTCAAATGTTAAAATATTTTAGGTTAATATACCAAAATTATATGTAAAATATTTTAAAGCGCTCCTTTTAAACAAACACCTGCCAAGTTGATTCCAACCCTTAGCCGACCCTACAGGACAGAGGAGAACTGCTCAATGGGGTTTTCTATGCTGTAATCTTTACAAAAGCAGACAGACGGCCTCACCTTTCTCCTGGGGAGCAGCTGGTGGGTTTAAACTGCTAATCTTTCAGTTAGCAGTCAAGTGCCTAACCCCTGTGCTACCAGGGCTGCTCCCTTGTAAACAATCATTGGCTGACATTTTTTAATCTACCTGTAATTAAATATGACATAAGAACAGAACCAGAGATCACAGCAGCATGGACCTCTTTCTCTTCTAAACCTGATGTATTTTATAAACCAACCAATCACACAAAAAACTAAACTCAATGCTGTTGTGTTGATTCTCACTCTCAGAGATCCTATACAACAAAGTAAAACTTGTCCCCCGGATTTCTGAGACTAAATCTTTAAGGAAGCACATAGCCTCACCTTATACCTAAAGAGGAGGTGGTAGGCTTAAACCAGTTAGCAGCCCAATGCTTAGCCCACTGCACCACCAGGGCACCTTACACACTTCACTGCTGTTAAGTGACATGGTGTTGGTTCTGACTCTTAGTGACCCTGGTTTCCGAGGAGCAGCTGAGCTGGTGGGTGTGAACCTCCAACCTTATGGTTAGCCGTCTGGTGCTAATCCTACAGTGCCTCCCCAGGACTTTATAAGCTCTATGACAGTGACCATTTCTTCCTTAGGATTAGGTCTTTGGTTTCTCAATTCAATTTCATATTACTGGACTGTGTTACAATGCGGGATGGACATGAAGGGACCTATGAATGCTTAACTTCCAAATTTCTCCATTTACTTTCTTTACCTTAAAACAGACTCAACAAAAACCCTTAAAGCTTTCACATGAATCCACGCAATAAATGCCTCACTGAAATTCACTTTCAGCCACCGGACAAGTGGACCCTATAAAAAGAAGGAGAAAAAGAATAAAATGAATCACTACAAATCTGGTCTCAAAAAAAGCAATCAGAAACCAAACAAATCTTTTTAAAGAAATGGACAGCCACTTAGGAATCTATAGGAGAATTAAATCACCTTATATGCGGCAGCTTCAAAAAGTTCATGGATAATGAAAGTTAAATAGAATGGAATTCTTCCATGAGCTTTCTGAGGTCTCCTCCTATTTCACTTAAAAATACTGCAAACATTATTCTCATTATCTTAGATACATTACCTTAAATTAGGCTAAAGGCCAGCCATTATTCCACAACGTTAACAGATATTAAAAGGCACAGAACTGATTTACTGCACAGAAAAAGGCATAGGTCTTAATGAAAGCAGTTTGTTGTTGTTAAGTGCCGTCGAGTCAGTTCCGACCCATAGCGACCCTGTACAGGGTTTCCGAGGGAGTAGAAAGCCTCATCTTTCTCCCGCGGAGCGGCTGGTAGTTTCGAACCGCTGACCTTAAGGTTCGCAGCCCGATTCGTAACCACTATGCTACCAGAGCTGGTACAAAATATAGAGGTATCCTAGGTTTGAAAACCAAAACCATTCCTCTAAAACATTTACTACATTTATATATAATTCAATTTATAAACAGCTTCCCAGGAACAAAGACAGTTACTTGGGCAAGTCATTTGCTGCCTGAGGTTTCTGTTTTCTCCTCTATCAACTCAGAGGTTGATCCAGATCTCCAAAACCTCTACATGCTGTGAAACTTTAATCATTTTGTTATGTAATACAAGTGCTTTCTAAACTTAAGATATTTCTAGTACTAAGTAAAATGTCTATTTTAAAGGAACATATTTCAAATAACTACATGCATCCTCTTTACATTTAAAAGATAAACATCATCAATTTTTGTAATCAGCAGTTACCATCAGCAGTTAGTTGGATATTAGGTTTATTTGGCTATGCCAACCAAATAATTTAAGAAAAAATGGTAACACCACCAATAAAAACAAAACAAAACAAAACCACAGTGAAAGTCTTTGATTAAATATCTGTTTCTCAAAAGGGTTTTAGATCTTCTCTGATGAGGTGATTATTTTGGACATTAATTACCTGTTAGTTTTCCCACAGAGAAGATGCAGGGATTTGTAAAGCATTTGCAATCATTTTAAATGCAGTTTGGCATTACAAAAGGAACACATTTTCACTCTTCCTGTTTCCCCTTCCACACAAGCTTTTGGTCTTCACAGGACTCCTATCTTGACAATGGCCAGAGAGTAGATACCATCTTTCAAAGGTACAACTTCATCCCTGCTCCCATTAGCACACAACTCAAGGATTTAAATACAAATCCTTTCAGCAAAAGATTGAAAAGGTAAAAAAATTCGTACTGAAAAGAACTGCTTTTATTTATAATAACTTAATTAATACCCCATCTACTACAGTTGTTGTTGCAGAAAAGTCGGTTCCAACCCATAACGACCCTGTATATGGTTTCAAAGGAGCAGCTGGTGAGTTTGAACTGCCAACTTTGCAGTTCAAATGGCGTTGCAGCCTGCCTCATTAACCCACAGCGCCACACCAGGACTCCATCTACTACAGTGTTGTTGTTAAGTGCCATCGAGTCAGTTCCAACCCATAGTGACCCTGTAAAGGGTTTCTGAGGAGCAGCTGGTGATATAGCACAGTTGTTGTTAAGTTGTTGTTAAGTGCCGTAGAGTCGGTTTCGACCCAGAGCGACCCTTAACAGGGTTTCCGAGGCTGTAAATCTTTACGGGAGCAGATCGCCTCATCTGTCTCCTGCGGAGCAGCTGGTAGTTTCAAACTGCGGACCTTGCGGTTCGCAGCCCGATTCGTAACCACTACGCTACCAGAGCTCCTGATATAGTACAGTAGCACTAACTAAAACAGTGCGTTTACAATGCACATTGGTTGAGCACTTAGAAGCATTTGTTAGTTTGAAGGCCTTTATTGAAAGATTGTTGTTGTCGTTAAGTGCCCTTGAGTCAGTTTCATCTCATAAAGACCCATAATCTAAGCTTGCTTTGAGAAAATTCATTCTCATTCTTCAACAGAAAAGAAAAAAAAAAAAAGAAAGAAACACAACTGTTTTAAAAGAAAACCAGAGAAGCTTTGTTGATGCTAAGTGCTGTCAAGTGGGTTCCGACTCATAGTGACCCTGTAAAGGGTGTCCGAAGAGCAGCTGATAGGTTAGAACCATCGACCTTTCAGTTTCCAGTCCAGTGCTTATCCTACAGTGCTGCACTGTTGTTATTGTTGTTGTTAAGTGCCGGTCAAGTCAGTCCGACTCAGTAGCAATCCTGTACAGGGCTTCCAAGGAGCAGCTGGTGGGTGTGACCACTGACCTTGAGGCTCAAAGTGACCTTGCTATCCAGGCATTATCCTGCCCCTCGCTACACCAGGACTTCACAGTGCTACATTAGATTCTCTTAAATAAAAACAACATCATTTTTGTTCTTAACACTTTAATACTAAAATTTAAGAAGACATACAAACTGCTTTTTCTTGTCAGTAGAAAGCCTGTTCATTTCTTCTTTATCTGCTTTCATCTCCTCTTCATTATATTGGAAGTCACGAACAATGAATCTGTATTGTGGGGGAACAAACAAAATTGTCCAAGCCGTGTACAGCTGCTCCAACAAATTCAAAACCAATAACAAAATCACCTTACTTGTTTTCCCTGGCTTTGTGTCTGAAGTCATCGACGGCCTTCCTAAATAAGGTGACATTACAAAGGTAACTGTCTTGGTCCTCGGAGAGTACACTATGAGAAAAAAAGACAAAGTCCACTGAAAGACTGACAGTTCTCTTCTTCAGATATGAGGTAGAATTCACAGCCCTCCCTGAATGCCTCAATTCTACTCAGCCGCATTACTTCAAACATGATGGTAGTACCTCAAACATTAAGAATCATGAGTTCCAACCTCTCAGTGTCATGGTGATAGAAATGATGCTGCAGTATGATAGAATTCTGCAAAACTAATTATTTGTTCATTTCAAATACCTTCTTTAAACAGCATGAGAGATGACTATACACATGGACCTCACCATATGAAATACATAGAAATCAAATTGACTACATCTGCGGAAAGAGACGATGGAAAAGCTCCAGGGGGCAGACTGTGGAGCCAGACCATCAATTACTCATAAGCAAATTCAAACAGAAGCTGAAGAAAATGAAAACAAGCCCACGAAAGGCAAAATATGACCTCGAATATATCCCACCTGTATTTAGAAATCATCTGAAGAACAGATTTGATACATTAAACACTAAAGACCGAAGACCAAAATAGTTCTGGGATGACATCAAGAACATCATACATGAAGAAAGCAAAAAGTCATTAAGAAGACAAGAAAGGAGGAAAAGGTCTAAATGGATGTCAGAAGAGACACTGAAACTTGTTCTCCAGTGTAAATATGGTGAAGCAAATGCAATGAAATGAGGAGGTCCAAGAGCTAAACAGAAAATTTCAAAGATCGGCTCGAAAAGAAAAAAACAAATATTACAACAAAATGTGCAAAGATCTGGAATCAGATAACCAAAAAGGAAGAACACGCTCAGCATTTCTCAAGCTGGGGCAACTAAAGAAAAAAATTCAAGTCTCGACTTTTGTTATTGAAAGATTCTCAGGGCAAATTATTGAATGATGCAGAAAGCATCAAGGGAAGATGGAAAGAATACACTGTATTCTTCCATCACTGTACCAAAAGGAAATGGTTAATGTTCAACCATTTTAAGAGGCAGCATATGATCAAGAGCCAATGATACTGAAGGAGAAAGTCCAAAGTGCATTGAAGGACTTGGCAAAGAACAAGGCACCAGGAATTGATGGAATAAAAATTGAAATCTTTCAAGAAAGTGAGGCGGCACAGGAGACACTCACTCATCTCTGCCAAGAAATCTGGAAGATAACTATCTGTGCCCATTCCAAAGAGAGGTGACCCAACTGAATGCGGAAATCATCAGACAATCTCTTTGATATCCCACGCAAGTAAGGTTTTGCTAAAGATAATACAGAAACGGCTACAATCATACATTGACAGAGAACTTCCAGAGGTTCAAGCCAGATTCAGAAGAGGCTGTGGAATGAGGGTTATCATTGCTGATGTCCAATGGATCTTAGCTTTGGCTAAAAGCAGAGAATATCAGAATGATGTTTGCCTGTGCTTTATTGACTACACAAAGGCTTTCGATTGTGTGGATCATGACAAGCTATGGACAACGTTGCAAAGTATGAGTATTCTGCAACACTTAATTGTGCTCATGAGGAATTATACATGGACCAAGAAGCAGTTGTTTGAACAGAACATGGGAACACTGAATGGTTTAAAATTAAAAAGGTGTGCAACAAGGTTGTATTCTTTTACCATACTTATTCAACCTGTATGCCGAGCAAATAATCCGAGAAGCTGGGTGTTCTAGGAAAGAAAACATGGCATCAGGATTGGAGGAAGACTCGTTAACAATCTGCGATATGCAGATGATACAACCTTGCTTGCTGAAAGTGAAGAGGACTTACAACATTTACTGATGAATTACATCTCATTGTAAAGAAAACAAAAATCCTCACCACTGGACCAATACACAAAATTCTTATCAACGGAGAAAAGATTGAAGTTGTCAAGGACTTCATTCTTCTTGGATCAACCATCAACACTCATGAAAGCAGCAGTCAAGAAATCAAACGACGTATTGCATTAGGCAAATCTGCTGCACAGGAACTTTTTAAAGTTGTCACCTTGAGGACTAAGGTGTGCCTGACCCAAGCCATGGTATTTTCAATAACCTCATATGGATGTGAAAGCTGGACAGTGAATAAGGAAGACCATAGAAGAATTGATGCTTTTGAGTTATGGGTGTTGGAAGAGAATGTTTAAAGTGCCATCGGTGCCAAAAGATCCATTTCGGAAGAAGTACAGCCAGAGTGCTCCTTGGAGGCCAAGATGGCCAAACTTCATCCCTCATACATTGGACATATTATCAGGAGGGACCAGTCGCTGGAGAAGGATATCATCTTTGGTAAGGTGGAGGCGTCAGAGAAAAAGTGGAAGACCCCAACGAGATAGACTGGCCAAGTGGCAACATCAATGGACTCAAGCGTGGCAACAGTAGTGAGACTGTCCCAGGATAGGGCAGTGTTTCTTTCTGCTGTGCATACGGTCGTTATGGGTCAGTACCTACTCGATGGCACCTAACAACATCATCATCAGTGTCAGGCGGATCGAGACAAAATTGGTGAGTGGGTGGCTTGTTTCCAGTGTCTTTTTCCTTCTTTCTTAAGTAGCCTCCTCCTCCTCTTCTGGAAGCAGGTTTCTTTTGTCTCCAGCCCAGCCCAGTCCCCATGAGCCTGTCCCCCTCCTCCTGCACTGTCAGTCCCTCAGACCTCCTCTGTGAGTGTCTCACACTCACCTCCTAATCAAAAATTGTTCATTGCAACTGTCGAATCAACCTCAGAGTAAACACAGTTTGATTTATCTCGGGGTCCATTCAAGTCGTTAGAAGGTCCAAGTGGAGTCACAGCACATGGGCATCATCAAAAAGAGCTTTCAGGATGTTGTGCCTGTCATACAAGTTTATAATGCTTTGGGGGAAAGCTCTTGTACAGCAATGGCACTGATTTGGCTTTCAAAACCGACTTTAATATGGAAGGTCTACAAGGCACATAGTCAACAGTGATGGTCTTGGGGGGAGGAGAACATTAGCTGGTGGGTAATTTTGTTCTTATTTTTCTAGTTTCTGGAATGTTCTTAACACAATGTTTTGATTTTTATTTATAATATATTACCTTAACAATTAAAAAGTTATCAAAGTTTTACAAAACAGAGGAAATGCTTATGAAATTCAGAGATATTTTCATAAACACACCAAAAACTAGAGAAAGAAAAAGCTAGCTTCATTTTCCCAGGAAATCTAAGGACTGGTTAGCCAAGTACACACAGAAGGGAACTACAAAGTATAAGGTCAGATTGGCTTTAAAAACAGAAGGCTTCCTGGCTCTTGTCAGCCTGCCACAGGATGGACCACCTAGTAGTGGGACTGGTAGACACCTCTGGGAGCATTCATCTCTGGGATCATGGATCATAGTCGTGCAGAGAAACTCAACTGCTCTGCATTTATAAAGCTTGGCTGTGGCTGTGTGCCATGGAGTCGGTTCCGACTCATAGCGACCCTGTACAGGGTTTCCGAGGCTGTAAATCTTTACAGGAGCAGAAAGCCTCATCTTTCTCCCGCAGAACAGCTGGTAGTTTCGAACTGCTGACCTTGCAGTTCGCAACCTGATTTGTAACCACTAAGCTACCAGAGCTCCTTTTTATAAAGCTTAAGCCTCCTTTATGAGAAACTGAGCCTTCCTCAAAAGGACCCTTACTTCGGCTCCCAGTGCTTAGCATACCCAAAAGGCAGCTACCATGTGGACAGAGCTCAAATTCAATACCCTTTTTTATGCCAAGATTGACTCTGACATGCAAATTGATTGAAATCCAAACAAATACAAATCCAACTTAAAAAGTTATTTCAGAGCCATTATCATATTACTCCTTTAAGTTCTGGCACTTTGCCATTCTGAAGATTCTTTGAAAAGCATTTAGTGTTTGACAAGGCCATTATCAGTGAGCAGGGTACCTATTATGCAAATTCCTATCTATCACTTGGAGACCCAGGGCACAGAGGTGCATCACTTACTCAAGTCTTGCAGTGAAAGAAGCTGAGATAAACTCAGTCTTGTTTTTGGACTAAATCCCAGTGTACCACCTTACTGAAATAAGATTTTAACAAATCACTTGCTTTTCCTTCTTTTCTCCAAGATAGACATTTCTTACAACTCTACAAAAAGCAAACATAACCCCAGGAACTCTAAATGCAATCGTTTTATAGTCATTCAGCATGTACAGGAGCCTAGGTGGCTCTGTAGGATTTGTACTGGCCTGGGAACCACAAGCTCAGCGGTTCAAACCCAAAGGCCACTCTGAAGAAGAACAATAAGGCTTTCTGCTCCTGTAAAGATTTACAGTCTCAGAAGCCCTATACAGGGTCACTCAGAGTTGGAACCAACTCGGTGGCAGAGTTGAGTGAAGCCTCAATACATACACCAAGTTCTTGCTAAGTATTAAGAATAACACTAATTAAGCCATGTTTCCCTGATCTCGAGGAAATGATTCTATGAGAAAACAACAGGTTACTACAGTAAGAGTTTTTAGGGTGACAGCTGTGAAAGATAGGAAACTCATCAACATTAAGTAGAGCTTGACAGAAAAGTGGGGACCAAACCTTATCTAAGCAAGAAAACTTGCACACACACACACACACACACAAAAAAAAAAAAACCGGAAAAATTCAGCAATCCCATGGATCCCCAGCTCTCCTGGCTTCTCTACATGACAGACAATGTGTAAGACAGACTGGGACAAAAAAGGGAATGACTAGCTGGCTGAGGGGCACAGAAGATGAAACGTCAAATGGAAACTAGAAAGATAGGCAAAGCATATAAGAAAATTCCAGGCTGACTCCCACATGAAAATGTATGCAGGTGGGATAGATGGTGTATTTGGAGAACTACCATAAATCAAAGGTAGCATAGTGGTTACGAATCGGGCTGCGAACCGCAAGGTCAGCAGTTTGAAACTACCAGCTGTTTCGCGGGAGAAAGATGAGGCTTTCTACTCCCGTAACGATTCACAGCCTCGGAAACCCTGTACAGGGTCGCTATGAGTTGGAACAATTCCAAGACACATAACCACTACCACCCCCCACACACCACCATAAAT